AGTGGTAATTCAATTCAAATAGCCGTTATCCGCCAGCCATTCCTCGACATCTTTAGCATCACGTTTCAACCACGCACTATTCATATAAATATTTTCCAAACTCTGTTGCAGCGGTCGTGCGTATTGCTTGGTGTCTTTATCGGCAAAGAATTTCTCTATGTCAATTGCATCTTCCTCTGATGCAAACGAGCTCGTTCCATACTTAATAACGTTTCCGAGGAGATTCAATGATTTTACGTATCGATCTTCGAACTATTTGATTTATAAAATAACGAAAAACAAACGTAAGCATTAAGAAAAAAGCTTCAAGAACTCGAGAAAAAAATACCAAATCCCAATTTTTTTTGAGAAAGTTCCACAATATTTTTCTTGATTTACGATTATCCCGCAAACTTTAATTTTATTATAGAAAAATAATTCGCTAATTAGTCCGAATAAGTAAACTTAAAAGAAATCCCAAAATGAAATAATAATTTACCCCGCAAAAGCATGGATAACATCTTGATTACGAACTTCCGGAGAGATGGAAAAGTCCAATGCACGTTGAATCAATTCAGGTTGTTGCGCATAGCCAAGAGCGGTCAACGCGACAAGTTGTTGGTCAGCTGTTGGACTATTTCTGAAAATTTTCAATATCTCCTCGAACTCTTTTTCACCGCCACCATGTATTAATACAATTTCAAAGACCGCTCCTCGTATATTAGGGTGTATAGCCGATTGATCATTTTTCTCGGTGAAAAGTTCAAAGCGGCGCTTAGCTTCCTTAACGATTCTACATTATAATTGCTTCAATTATTTCCTCTTAAGATTAACATGGCATAACAAATTATGAACACGTTTACATACTCTGGGTCTCCAGATTTGCCGGCAACTTTAATGGCCAAAGATCTCAACATTATAGTCAAATAATCTTCATTTTCGGGATATTCCCAACCTAATCGGTGTGCCAATTTTGAACATAATTTTCGTCGGAATGCCAAGAGTCCTTGGTAAATAGGATCGGGCTG